CATCCCATGGTAGTGATCCGTGATCGTTGAGTATTCCTCGACCTTCTTTGATACCACTAGATGAAAAACAAACGAATTTAGTTAAGAGTTCATGTAAACGTTGGACAACGTACGAAATAACAGCATCTTCTTTCATTTTCTCATTTTCAAGTTTGAGTATTTCATTTTCCTAGAAGATAAAAATCATTTCTGGTGCTCTGCGCCAGACGTACAATGACATACTTGTTTCAATGCACGAACTTGAGCGTCAAGGTCTTGTATGCGTATTTCTGAGCTTTTAATGATATTTTCCGTTCGAGTTAATGTGTGTCCGAACATTTGTCGCGATGAATCAAATGATAATTGTTCCACAAGCTTAAAAGCAGAAAAGTATAATAATGAGTATTTGCATAAGTGAGGGTGAGTGCGCTAGTCTATACCTGTTCATTGGCCAATTTTTGAGCTTCAAGTTCTTCACGTTGAAGACGTAACTGTTCTATTAGTTTTTCATTATCATCGGCCAAATCATCGCATCGAAGTTGACTTTGTTGTAATTGATTATCAACATTCTCAAGTTTCTAAATGAATTTTCATACTGAGACAAACGTCTTTCAAATTCCCAATATTTGAGATCAATTCATTAGAGCAGAGGGAAGAGTAAACAACACGTTTTCTTATTTACCTTTTGTAAATCTTTGACATCCTTTTTCATCTGCCCATTGGCCGTATGGGTTTGTTTCAATTCAGTTTCGATTGCATTGATTCTAAATTGAGAAAACGAGAACATTCATTTTTCGTTCGTTCTTTCTTTTCGATTAACCAATAAAGCTGAGTGGTTTCTAACATATATTTATGTTCAAGAAGGGAAAGAAGCTAGAGGTAAAATGAAGAAGGCATGCAAACATAGATACTCCGAATAACAGACCTCATGATACTAGAATAATCAAACGCATAGTTTGAAGCTAGATGAGATTGGAGAAAATGTTTACCTCGATTGAAGAATTTCTTTTTCTTGAAGAAAAGATCGGTCTTTTTGGGTCTAAGGAAAAGAAATGATGAACGAAATGATAGTTTCGTTGCTACTTACAATGTATTCAGTGTATTTTTGATGTTCACTTTCTGTTGAACGTGCCTGTTGTCCTTCGAGGTCGTGAAAACGATCTTCAAGTGCTAAAAGTCTAAAAGATTCCGAGTACGACTGGAATTTTCGTGCAAAGATATTCTTCGTACCTGCTCTTCAAATCAGAATTTTCACTTTGGATTTTCGATAAACGATCAGTGGTCGTGGCTTTTTGTTCCGTTAAGACTTCGACCGTTTTTTGTAACTCGTCTACCTACGAAAAAATTCCGCGAGTTCTATTTTGTTGCAATCAATTTTCCACAAACTGTTTCTTGTAGTATTTGACCGTTTTCTTCAGAAGGATGACTCGATTGTAAAAGAGAGTTTCGTTTTAACAATTGTCTGAAAACGGAACACATTATCGATATGTTAATATGCATTTTTGAAACATACGAAGCACGTTGAGGCGTCGTTGCACGTATATGTGATATTTCAGATATATAACTGGTCGCATCTGGTTCAGCCACACCGCTGAATTCTTCTTCTTCACCGAAACTACAAAACTCAATAGAAGTCTTCGATTCTCCCCACGAGTTTGGTCGCACACATACGTCAGAAACATTGCTAATTCAAATTGTCTGGCCCTCATAAAACATTTTCATGACCTATACAAGTTAATCTCTCTGTATGTCGCTTTATCACTACATATCGAATAGCTAATGTAAAGGAAAGATTTTCATTTGACACTTCATTGATCTCTCGCTCATCACAGGAGATTTTTCACATGCGTGCGGTTTCGTCTCGACGCAAACGATATCCTAATCGATGATTCATCCTCCATAGTCAAGATCGTATCTAAATCGAAGATAGCCGAACATAACTTACACGGATGAATCCAATATTGGTGAACTTGATTGAATATTTCTATGACTGTTCTGATTTTTATCAGTATCGTGATTCGTATGATTGCTTTTCTTGATTATTGGTTGTATTTTACTATTATTCTGTTGATTTGATGTCTCGTCAGTTTCAACGTCGTACTCGTTAAATGTTGTTGTACTGCCGTCTTGATTCTAACCAAAAAAAAAACATTCAAATTACACGGTATTTATGAAATAGTATTTCAATTACCAAACTTCGCTGATCAGAATCTTCGGCCAAGGAATTTTCTCGACTACGTCGTGATAAATCGGATGCCACGTCTTTCAAAGACACACCTTGTAACGAACTGATCTGGGCGATTCCTTGACAAAATTGATCGAAATTGATTAAACCTGTATTATTCGGATCTAGCGCTTTAGTAATACGCGCAAGTTGCTAGAACAGAATAAGTATAAGTAATGAATGTGATATAATGTTGACAGAATAGAAGAAAAAAACGACGGGGAAAAAGGAAAGCAAATCAAAGGAAGGATCGTAACCTTTGTACGTCGATGCATATATACATCAACATGAGGCGACACACGTACACACCTGACTCGCAAAAAAATGTTTAGTATACATTCTGATTTATATCATGAAAGAGATTTTTTCTTCTTTTACAATTGAAAGAACTGGTTAGAATTTGTATTTCTCTCTTCTTTTTGAACAGTTGTTCAAATTAAAAGCGAAACAATAGACCAAGAAGAAAGAAACAGTCACTTACTTCTGCATCCGAATAGTAATTATTCGCAACATCGACAAAACGACGTAATTGAATTTGACCCTCGTCGTTTTCATCAAGAATTGAAAAAACTTCGTTCAAATCGAACTCCATCATCTTGAAAGATCTCTTATCGTAAAAAATGTTATAGTATCAGCAACAATCGCATCATTTTATCTGAAATATAACAAAGAACAATCTTCTTCGACTAACTAGATGTATACATATATCCACACCACCGTTCACACAACTATTTATCTACCATTATTGCCTTGTTCTATAGACAAAAGGACGAACAATCTTCACCTCTTCTCTCTCTCTCGCCCGTTCGCTTGCTCGTTTTTCAACAGACCAATTAAACGAAAGGCGATAGAAAAAAAAACGTTTGACTTCCTCCTTTGACAAGTTGAGAACAGTTCAATGTACAGGGAAGAAAACTTTCTACTGACTTGTACATCGATATGGGACGAAGAGAATGAATCAAATAAACATTATTAGTATAAAGTTTACATGTAAAGAGACAATAATTGACAATCAGGGAAGAAAAGAAACGTAGTCATCACGAAGTATCGACAAGAAAAAGATTCAATTGTGATAAGAACTGTTCAATAGGTTCATGTCTGGCAACTATTAACTTCAAATATATATACATCGATTGATTGTTGCATCACATCATTTCGGTGAAAGATGCGAACAGGCTGTTAGAGAAAAGAAAATGAGTTGGAAAGGGAATGGTAAACTATGATAATCGTTCACTCATTCATTCTAACAATGATGAATGATAGAAAGTGCTAAATATATGCATCTGTCATTCCGACAGGAGCTAGCAAACAATTCTTCGTATATCTCGTTCGATCGAAGAAAGAGATTTATGCTCATTACGCTCTCGTTCGCTCGACTTGCATGACGTTTGAGACAGAAAGATCGTCGATAGTTCTATTGAAAAAGAAAAGAAAAAGAAAAATTTTTTCTGTCAACTTACACACTCAAAGGCAAACTGTTCTATATCCTAATCGATTACCTCCTGTTGAAATAGAAATTGATAAAATTGATTGAATCAGCAAGAAATATTCGACGGAACAGACGATGACACATTAGAAAACGAAAATCACGTCGTTGACTAAAGAGTGACAGGTGGAGTGAGTCATACATCATCTTGGCACTATTGTATTTTTCTACATATCAACGAAAGAAAAAAAAACGAAATCGAATACAATCATAATATACATAGTAATAAATCAGCTAATATTAGTCATCAAATTTACGTTCGAGAAAATGATTGAAAGAAATATATTTATTTGCTTATCGATTGTGTGGAAATATATGGCAGAGAACATATAGAAAATATTTTTTCTTCACGTCTACTCGTAATTCTCTCGTTAATTTGACAATAATAACGGCGATTTTGTCTGACAAAACAGAATTGTCATGAACGGTTGAATAACACCTACCACTAATACTGACTTCCTCTATTTCTCTCTCTCTCTCTCTCTCTCTCTCTCTCTCTTTCGAAATCAGAATAGACATTCACTTGTTCGTCCTTGTGCTGCCAACAGACACACATACGAACGCCTACCGCGAACAGAGGTCACTATTGAAAGTAACTCTAATCATTAACATGCAAACATTTGTGATTTGAATAAAACGATACACCTACTCAAGTATACTTTCATAAGATCATGCAGATTGAATGATTACATAAGTCAAATGAGACGTACAAATCAGAAAGATTATTTTCAAGACAACAATCGTATTAAACGAGCGCATGGCCAGTGTGAATGAATGAATGAACGGTCGATCGTTTACCTATTGGATACGGTTAGAACCAGTGAAAAGTATGTGTCAGGTGTTGAAGTGAACTTCGTTTTTGTGATCAATGACGATGTCAACAATAGTTTTCATCAATCGTTTCTAATCGTTAAAGACAATCCTACTTGATTTAGTAAAAAGACTGGAAGTACGAATGATTTCTTTCTTGAAATTATATAAGATGATCAATCTACTATTGACATGAGTGGATGAATTCAAAGACTTCGACGCTTCTCGTTTGAAGTGAATGAGAAAGAATGTCATTCATTGAACTTGTTTATTAAAAAAAACATCAGGAAGTGAATGAGAAAGAGTCCAGGAAAAACAAACAAACAAACAAACAAACAAGAAAGAAAGAACCAGCGAGCAATCGACGAAAACACCAAGTTAAACACAGATATGCGTTTCTTGATATACTCGTCTATTTAGCAATCTGACCATGAGAAAACAATCATTATTTCATGCACACACACAATAGTTTTGTTTCGCTTTGACATCAATCGATCACATTTAGATTAATTTACTGTACGCAGCTAAGAGTCGATTTACTGCTGGAACACGAGATAGGATACGATAGAGTACAAATGCGGACATAGCACACATTCCACCAGCGAGGACATCTAAGACATAATGATGCCGAGAATAAACTGCAGAAAACCAAACACATAGGGTAAATATAACAAACGTAATGTGTAACCAGAGCTTTTTACTCAATGAACCATAGAGTACAGTAATTAACGGGTAGGCAGCGTGCAAAGATGGAATAGCAGCGAATACATTGGCATTCTTGGAATACATTGATGAAAAAATTTTCAAGCCAGTGACTTCATCGAAATGTATGAAACCTGCTGGATTACCACGTGCTTTGATATTGAATTCAAATCCATACAATTCCACATACCATGGTGGTCTAAAAGAGAAGAATAGTTCGAATCGAAAGAGAGCATCGCTTAAAAGATGAACGTACGCCGTTGGAATGATATAATAAACAACAAATCCGAGCATGTTGGTAAATAAAAATGTAAATGCAAAATCCATGTAATCTCGTTTAGTTTTGTATCGATATAAATACAAACTATACGCAACTGGAATTGGAATCCTGTTAACAAAAACAAATGACAGTAAACAAACACTCATTTCTCCGGAATATTGCTGAATTTTCATCCTTTTATCGTTATTAGAATTAAACTCGATATAAGATTGTAAAAGAATATTGACTTTTGCTCCTCTCCCACAGCATCAAAACTCGCTTATCAACAACTCATAAATTATGCAGGTGAAACGAATTTATTGCCCTCTTTAGATATAAATTCTAATCTTTACCAGTTCAGGTAACAAATTCCGGTGAAAACATCTAATAATGGAATGTGATTTTGCTGAAAATATTCATTAAGTGTAATTATCTTTCCATTAGAATATATTCCGAAGAGTTTCTTTTCCATTAGATAAACATCTTTGATATGAATATTTGATACTGTATAATTTGGCACTAAATGTAATGCATCGTATAGAAGTAGGTAGGTTAAATAGATTAGAATCGCTAACGCGAAACGTCGTGTCCGTTCGGATAAGAAAAGCGAGACGAATAAAGCGATATAAATTAAAACGTGTACTATTGAAATGCCAGCAATAAATATAAACCATAGAAAATAGATTGAACTTACGAATACAAGCAAGATAAGATTGTCTTTTAGAAACAACAATCTGTTATCCGAATGTATTAGAAAATCATTTGATGATGGCGGTGAAAGTTGAAGAACGAGCGGATTCGAGTTCGTATCATTATTATTCTCGTCATTTCGTGCTTGGAGATCGAGTTGATGATAAATCGAGTTATTTCCATCTTGTTTAACAATACCATTCGAGTGCAATTCATATGATTCGTGTGGCGCACGACGCGTTTGAAAGGACGAATCGGATTGATATTCACTAGCTAATGGTTCGTAAGCGGTAGTCGATCGAAAACCAATTTGATTACCTAGAAACAGACAAAAGTTTGTTTCTTATGTCATCATGAATCCTGAGGGGTCGAAAGGGCAAAGCGGGCAATTGGGATTGTTGAATGGATTAATGAAAAGCTTACCGAGTTGATGAAAAAGACTTGAAACTGGTACAAAGATTCTCGACCATTTTCGTGGATGAACTGGACTGAAATATCGCATGTTGGATTTCAATTTACACACATTATCAAAAAGTTACAAACATTGATAGTAAAATGTAACCTATAAAACGAAAAAGAAATATTCATAGATGGTTATTCTTGTCGAACACGACAAATCACTTGAGATACTAACAGAAAAAAAAAGGAGGAAGAAAGGTGGGTATGTTTAAATAAGTTTACTCATGGAGAGTAGAGAAAATGAGCGCACGCACGAGTGAATCAACCACTAAAATATTGTTCTGCATGAGAAGTAAACACACATACATGCAAGTAAAATCATCAGCGAGAACCATTCACTAGATGAATGAGATGGAAGAAAATATGATGCGCAGTTCCTTTCGTTTCTTCTTCTCTGTTTCGTTTTGGTCAGCTAAACTTCTGTTCATTGGCGAATAATATCAAAATGAGTGTGACAAGCTTTTGTTAAATGTATGTTGTCAACGTGGTTACCATTGATGTTGTGAGTGTTCTCTATACTCTACACATTCATTTCACTCAGTCCCGTTATTTGAAAAAAAAAATTCTCGAGGCGTCGTGGTTATTGGTCCTATTTTTTTTTCTTCTTTCATCAAACGCACTTCGTCGCGACTCGTTTCTTTTCTTCTCTATTGTCGTTCTAATATTTCTTTCTTTCTCTACATTTTTGTTCTTTTTCTTTCTCTACATTTCTCTTACCCTTTCTCCATTCCAAAGAGACTCTCTTCAACCGTGTTGCGAACACTCGTCCTTTTATACGCATTTCTTCTTACTGAGAGCTGTGGACTGCATAAAATATAATATTTAACGTTTTCTTTCTCTCCTCGCCTCGCACTGATCGTGTTTGCCTTCGATCGATTCGTCAAAAGTGCAAATCCTCAGACGAAAATAAAACGATAGATCGTATGTAACACATTTATTTCGGTAGTCTACACATTGAACACTGTAGTTCACTCTAATCAACTCGACAAACACGGCGAATAGTTTGAAATAGGTCGTCAAATTTCGAACATCGAGTATAAAACAAATCTTTTTCTTGACTATTAAAATATTGACAATCGACAAATTTGCACTGAGTTATTGTCTGTAAACCATCTAGATTAGAGATGGATAAGACGCTTGAAAATGTTTATTTAACGATTGTGAGTCAAAACTTTTCTTCCAAGTATCGGATAAAAATAACTTCGAAGTTCGTCGATAATTAAACATATTCAACTGTTTAAGTGTGTTGCTATTGGTCACGATTGAAGTGCGCCGTGTATGCAACATGCGCCAGCTGGTTTTCTGCTTTGACAACAGAAAAGAAAATAGAAACATATACTCCATCGTCGGAGACATGAATCAGTGCAATCGTCACAAATCAGAGAATGATTCGTACATAGCTTGTATGAAACATACGCCCACATATTTACTATGAATTTGAATATAGATGGCAACAGAGCGACGTTTTCAGTGCAGGACAGTTTGCCTTCTTTCACTTGAGGAAAAAACTAATTAAATGTTTAAATTTCATTTCCGGTTTGGTAAAATTAAAAAAAGCCTTTGATAATCTCCTTTTCATGACATATTTCTTTATATGATAAAGATTGAACTTTTTCTCTGTTTGACATCCATTCCATTAGAGTACAGTTTAAAATAGAAAAATAAAAAAGATAAAGTTACTGGTTGATTATTCAATGAGCTATGTTGTATTGAGATAAACACGAAAGATCATTCATCGAAATGTAGGTTGCTAGTGAAGAACGAAAAATGATGAGACGAAGATGTTCGGTTGTCCTTGAATTACTTACCATTCATGTCTAAATCGTCGATGGGTTGACGTCGAGTTTGTTTTTCGACTTTCGGTCCTTTGACAACTTTGACACGATCATTTGATAAGCGTTTCATTTTAATTCCATCTTCGTTTAGACAAACATCAATCATATGGCGATAAGCAAGTCGTCGTGCTTCGTTGGAATTTCGACTAATTCCCACAGGAAATTGTATATGATCGTCAAGTAGGATACGATGAAACCAATAGGTCTTGCCATCGAATTGTCGAATTTGCTCGCGATTGATGACATTGATTCGACTTTGTTGGAGGACAGACTCGACTTCGCTTACATCAGATGTAGGTCGGAGATGATAACTGCGTAAAATTTCAGCTAATTTCGAGACACAGACGGTGTCCGCAAAGCAGACACGAACATTGTTTCTAAAAACAGATTAACATTCATTAAAATCGGATTATCTCAACCATCGATTTTACAGTTCATGATCCGATGTATCGGAGAGAACACCAGCCCACTTGGCAGACTCTGTTAAGTGTTGAATTTCCGTTTCGGTCATTGCAATCTTTTACAAGAAAGAAAAAGTCAAGATGAACATTCATTTCTGTGGTCAGGTCAAAACTTACATTCTCATCTGTTGGATCATGGTGGAAATATTCTCTTCGGCGATGATTTGTTTGTGGGGTGAATAATCTTTTACAAGTAGGACCTTGTGAATCAAGATCTAAATTCCAACAACGATCGATATAAATGAAATTTCGTATTTAATTTCTGATAATTTACCGAGTAATGTTCGACCGAGTAAACCAGAAAAGGGTTTTTCTTGTCCGTATGAGAAATGTGACGGAGTGTTAGGTATACTATCGTAATGCGAGGGAAGATTGACTGGTCCAGATTCTAAAAGCGTGAAAATTGATGTACCAGTGATAACATGAAGTAGAGCACGAACGAGTTAAGCTTCTTGTGCGGAAACGACGACTAAAGTTGACTGCTGTTGTCGGTGGTCCGGTTTTGATATGTTGTTTTTCACCTAAAAAACTTCCATTTCAATAAGGACTTATTCTTGAAAAACAACTAATCACGTTGTTCTAGGAGAAAAATAGTATCTTCACTAGCCATATCACAGGCCAGCTGTGTCTGTTGCATCCAATGTTTCAAACGACGACTGACGAAGTCACGAACTTCACTGTTATCATGACACACTGTCCAATTAACACGTTCGAATGGACGACTCGTACCCTGAACAACGTTCAGGTCTATGATCGCACCAGTTACACAACGTAGTTCATTCAAACGACAGTCCTTTATATAAAGAAAAAAACAATTAGATTTGAACTTGATTTGGTTTGATTATTTACCTGTTCACCACAAAATACTGTTCGAATATTGATATCACTTCGTTTCGCGTCTACGACGGTTTGCAGAGTTAAAGTCTACAAATATGATGATGAAAACCAATTGTAAAGATGAGAGTTACTAACCGATGAAAATCGATCATTTGAAAATGATGAAAAATCAGATGCGGACGATCGACTGGATACTTTTGATATAGAACTCATATTCGTTTTCAAATGCACGTATGAAAATAACCACAAGTCGGATGGACTAACTATTAATAGAACGGGCGATTTCTTTTCCTTTGTTTTGATTCGATTCGTTTATCATCTTCTCGTCTGTCTTTTCTTATATCGAAATATGTCGTTGATTCATTCGAAATGGTCGAAAGAGCGTTTTTTGAAAACGAAATTACTACACAATACTTCACGTCATTTGATCGCAATTTCAATAAATTGTAAGCAATCTGAATGGAACTGATTTTGGTCAACATGCTTTGTATGCGATAACCAATAGATCTCCTAGAACGTGATCAACGAAAACTGAATGAACAGAATGAGACTATCTGTCAATCGATCGAACAGATCGACGAACATTTGGATGCGTTAGGAGAGAAATTCAATACATTAAACAATATTTGCCATTTTCTTCGCATACCATCTCGTGTCTATTTGGAAAAGGTTGGATTTCATTTACCAAACGTAAACATACTCATGGAATTCTATTTTTCATAGAGAATGGTACGTTTACGCCAAGTAGCTAAGGAATATTTAGATGCTATCGAGGAAGAAATTCGCGATGAAATTGATCATTGGAATAATATTCAATCGATTATTTCTCAGTAAGTGTTTTCATATCAATCGAATGTTACCATTTGCTTTAGACCATTGCTAGAGACCGGTCTTATACGAAGTTATTATGGTGGACTCCCTCGACAAGTGCAGCAGAGTCCTTCGAGCGAATTGAATACAATATATGAAGCGAATGAAACGGTGAGATCGATCCGTTCACTCGCACCGATCAGCCCATTTTCAATCTTATCGAACACAATGATGGATGATGACAATGATTTGGGATCGAAGAGATTCAATAAAACATTTGTTAAAACGAAATCTACAGTAAATGATTCATTGTTCGAAGATGAAAATATCACATCGATAAAATTACATAAGAAACTATCGAGTTATCGATCTAAACTAAGTATGTCGTTTTGAAAATGACATATTTGATAAGCCCACCTTTTTTAGATTTGGAAAATGATACACGAGAAGAATTCATAATTTGCATTGATTAATTACATCCAATTTTTAATTTAATTTTTCCTAATAAATTAGTCCATTCATTTCATATCCAATCAGAATCTGTTTTTATACAATTAACTTCTTCTTTATTCATATGATATTCTTGGCATAGTTGTTTTTCTGATCCAAAAAAAAAGACGAGTCCTCTTCGCCATTCAATCACATGTTTTATTTAACGAGAAAAAGATAAGACATGACATTGACTTAACCAGCCTTCTTGACAATTTGTACGACATCTTCGTCCAAACTAAACAATTCAAAACGATTACAATGAACTTCCGACCACACGAATCAATACTCACAGAACATGTTCTTTGCCGACTTTTTGAGGAAGATGTTTCACAGATGCTCCCTGAAAGCATTCGATTGTAATGGAAAGAGCAAAATTGATAGCTCGTCAGCTTACCCAAACCAATGCATATTTGAAGTCAGAGAGAATGGCTCGATGAATTTTATTACAGAAATCTTCCACGGAACTTTTGCCTTGTGTCAAGACAACAGGCGCTGAATAGTCTGGTAATTGACCTTTCGGTTTCGTGTAGATTCTGACAAGTTTTAGATACGTCCACATTTTCTCCAGCAGATCATCGAAATTCCACTTATGATGAGCAGATATTGGAACACAATGAGGAACTTTGTAGATGATATCCAATTCTTCCACAGAGATTTGATCGATTTTGTTTAGAACGTAGATAGCTGGAATATAAACACGATTGCCTTCAATTAAATCGATGATATCGTCTTCAGTTGCATCGCAGCGAAGAATGATATCCTAATGTTCAAGAAAGGCATATCTCCGATTGTGAAATGTTCGACGTATCACTTACAGCATTGTGAATTTTGTATTCTCCTAAGATAGCTTTCACTGTTTCCAGATCCAAGGATGTTTGTTGAACTAATGCTTGATAATTCAATCCTCCTTTATCCTTTCGTTTGAAGTAAATATTTGGTGGTTCTTTATTCAAACGTATTCCAAACCCTTCAAGTTCGTACTCAATCAATCGCTTGTGACCCAACGGTTTCAATACATCCAGTACAATGTAAATCAGATTACACGTTCGAGCAACTAATTATTTAACAAAAAAACATCGTAGAATCGGAAAAACGTCTTCTTTCACGAACATACCTGCAATGACTTGTTTACCACGACCTTTACCGTCCTTGGCACCTTCGATGATACCTGGTAAATCAAGTAGTTGAATCTTGGCACCCTTGTACCGAATTACACCGGGTACTGTTGTCAACGTAGTAAATTCGTAAGCAGCTACTTCACTATAAACACCGGCTAAATTCGTTAACAAGGTACTCTAGAACGTAAACAAACGAATGACGAAATCGTTTGGCTGATGATTTTACTTTTCCGACTGATGGAAAACCAACAAAACCAATACGAGCATCACCAGTTTTGGCGACATCGAATCCTTCACCTTTGCCACCACCACCACTACCTTTAGGTTCGATAATCTCTCGTCGTAATTTAGCTAATTGAGCTTTGAGTAAACCTAAATGTCGTGCTGTTGCTTTATTTCTCTGAGTTTTTTCCATCTCAGCCTCAATATCAGCGATACGTTCAAGAACACCCATGATGGAAGTTTTAGATTTGTTTTTGGTCTTTCTTTAATTAAATCTAAAATATATTTCATCACATTAAGCTACTTCATCTCTGAATCATTGGAACTTTCCAGAACGTTCTCAACTTTCGCAATCAACGGTAAATTAAAATTTAACAAGTAAAAGTCTTGTTACGCAACAATTCCTCAAGCGTGAAATATCTTGGATACGCACATCATGCACTTATGTGACTATCCAACGTGTACTTTAATCAACCTTTTCTTTCGATCGACCTTTCTGCTTTCGCCACGTATGTGTTGCTGTACCGATAGCGCAAAACAAGTCGAATGAGTAAAGCCTATAGAAAGAATGACTCATTGGGTTATTGCATTGTAGATAAAAGGGAGTAGTTTTTTTTTGTTGACTCTCATAATTCTTCCGACGACTGAAACGCGAACAATGCTAATAGAAAACGCAACGAATGCACAGACTCAAGTCCAACTTGTTTCTTATTCGGGTATTGTCAATCCGGAACACATGTATAAAACGAATTGTGTTCCAATTGTAAATGACGATGACACTGATGATCAAACGAATGAACACTTACAACGATTGTTTATCGATGATTTTCTTCGCAAATGCAACGATTTCCAAGAAAATGAACAAGTCGACTATCTACCAGTCGAAATTCGTCTCGGTACTGTCTATACATATCAAAACCGTCGACAACAAAGTCAATTTCCGAACAGTCTTGATGGACAACGTGTCACAGCACATACATTACGAAATGAAGAACGTCGGCCACGAAATGACAAACACTTCCTAATCACATTCAACAAAAACAAAGGTATCAATGATCTTCCAACATTCGAACACGAGTTAACATGTGCTGGTTTTCGTCAAACGAATGATCATCAGTTAACGTATCGATTGTATTTACGCTATCAAACGCGACGATTGATTCTCGAATTGAAACGTAATCCGACTGATCAACGATTTTTCTCTACGAAGCGCCTATTGAAATATTCGACGAAGTTCACCCATGTTGATGTTGTCAAATCTAAACGAAACTCGAATTACACAGAAACATTTGATGATATTTTCGATATTCGCACGTCGATTGGCAAATGCGATGAAGAAGAATTGCATATCAACGACGACTATTGCGATTTTCTCCATATAAAAGATCTTGAACAATGTGTTTTCGAAACGAAATCCAATTCCGGCGAATACGTCTATCAGTTTAATCGCGGCTTATTACCATACTTCGATTTCTTTCAAATCAAACAGACGAACACATATGATTACTCCTGTATCGATAGTCGATTCTTCGGCTTGCGAGTTTCGATCGAACATCAAATTGGTTATGATCTAACTTCGAACTCGAGAGCGACAATACCCTGCTTACAAACGACGAATGTGATCATGGCGAAATTAGTTTCCTATGATTTCACAGAAGCGGAAGCGAAGCGGATTTGGTTTATTGGAATGTGGCTGTCGGATTTAGCTACACGATGTACGACTCGGGATTTACCACCTAACAAAATTGTCTGTCGGCCGCCTGCTGGTCAAACTTCAATCTATCGACGCTCAGTCAGATAAATGCGCGTATTTATTTCTCCTCAGGTTAATTTTCTGACCGTTGCTGTTTTCTTTGCATTTCTAAATAAAACAAAATAACGAAAAATGATTCGAAAAAAAGGTTTCTTTTTTATTTTGTTTTTATCAACACACAGATCATCACACATTTCTTTGAACCACAATAATGACAATGAGCAGAAAAGAAAATCAGACGATAAAAATCACAAATGTACAAAGATGCGTGCGTGGGTGTGCGCTTGGTTTGCTTTTTTTTGTTTTCTCAAAAGAATCTTTCAGCTCACTGTTATGGATTATGTGCAAACGCGCTGTCGATATGAGAAAGATAAAGAAAGAGGGAGATAAGAGACGAAAAGTGAAGCGAAACACGGACACAATGATTGGTATCATAAAATTTGAAAATAACAGCCAAAGAAGAAGAAGAAGAAAAAGAACACGAATGAACTTGTGAAATCAATTTAAATTGTCAAAAGAAAAACATGAACTGCCAGTGCATTCTTTCTATTCTCGTTTTCGTTATCTGTTGAAAAAAATTTATAGACCATCGATCAGTTCATGCTTTTGTTTCATGGTCATTTGTTGGGTTTGTCGAGGATCACGTTTTCGTTCATGTTGCTCTTTCAACTTAGCTCGGTACTCAGCTACCGACATTGCTAAACACAAAGAAAGATCAATGGAGTTCGTTTTAGTCAATCTAAGCGTACTCATTTCTAACACGCCACCACCAAAACCGTTACTGGCTGATGTTCGCGCTGGACTGCTTGCGATGGGTTTGGCGTACACATCACGTGGAGGAGATTTTGGCGACGAGTTGATATTCGTATAGGCATGATTCGATGGGAGTTCTCTACGATTGTTTTTGTCCGATGAAGGAGGTGATGAGGGTAGATACGTATTTCCAACTCGATCATAGTCGCGATCAGATGTGCGTGACGTGGTAGGTGAGTCAACATTCTAAAGACGAAACATGAAAGTTTCAGATTTATTCAGCAAATATCGCATTGTCATGGCGAATTTTACAATAATGGAATAATGATTGAGTGTCAGCTTACTCAAGAAGTTAATTGCGAGAAACTCGATTATTTATGTACATATGGAATTCAGAAATGATTGACTATTTACAGATGTCATGCTGATGAATTCAAGATGAAGACTGTTGACTTAGTTGAAGTTTGTCTTACTTTCGTTGGGGTAATTTTTGAACCAGTAATCTCTGTCACGTTCTTGTATTGCCGACTATTTTCACTTGTTCGAGCTTGCATTGGTGATGGGATTTCTCTATTCAATGGCGAATCCCCTTTACCCATACTTCTGTTCGATGAAACTGGTGAATCATCACTGTTATCTATATTGATAAAAGAAAAAAGACGTACGAACGTAAATAAAATACTTGTTTGTAAAGCAAACCTGATGCATTCCGATTTTTCACTCCAAGTTTTTCGACATTTGGATCATTACTACGTATAACAATGGACTTACGCTTATAATACTCATCTGTGTCTGGATCTACGACTAATAAGATAACTTCATCTGGATGTTTTGTACCATCTCTCGAAACGCCTTCTTTTATACGAGCGACGACCTGTGTGTGATTTTCGTTCCCAATCGGAACGTGATTGACTTCGATAATTCGATCACCTTCGCGTAAACCAGCAGATTCGGCCGGTGATTCTCGATCAACTTTACCAATGAACTGGCCTGGCTTATTCTTCTCACAATGTAAATTAAATCCATAACCGTTAAAATCAGGCCATCGTCTTAAATGACATAACCGTGGTCGTGGTTTATTTGAATATTCACCGTTATTCGTCATTTCTTTTACAAAATTAACAAATCTAGAAGGGAAAAAGAAAAGATCTCTTTCAGAAACAGATTCTCATTCACAACAGCAGTTGTATGTTATCTGCAAGAGAGAAAAGAAGTTAATCAGCTTTCTCCTTAACCATAGAAACTGACTCAAATTATCCACTCATAAAAGAATAAAAGTCGAAATAAATGATATGTAAAAACTCCACAACAAACTCGTATCGCTGGTAAGAAACCGCTACCATAAATGAATAATATATCAATCCTAGCACCGCCTACTTCAATCGCTCATAAGAACAAGACTTATTATACTCGAAACAGATGGGCGAGTGGAAAGGAGTGCTGGTCATTCCTACTTTCGGGACATACATACATCTAATATATCTCTGTTTAGACGATCATCTCTGTTCGTCTAATCAAATTGATCCGTCAAGAGAGTGATGGAAAATGGATGGAAAGAGAAAAAGGGGAGACTATAATAAAGAACAGATTGCTTTCTATTAACATACCGCGTGTGTATATGTGAGAGTGTTATTAAAAAAAAAAACAGAAAAAGAAATACGAAAATGCATCACCCGCTTTCTTCTTTTTCGTTAAAGACATCGGCTAAAATAAAGAACAGAATAAACGACAATAATGACGACAGAAAATAACAACATCGACACTTACAAACACATACGCATACACAGTATACACTCCTCTCACAACAACTGCTGAAAAAAAGAGAAAGAAAAAAAGAGCGCAAAGTATTATCAGTATTTCTTGTTGCTAACAAGTTCGTAAAAGCAAGAAAAAGAGTTGAATACTTGAATTTTGAATTGTTCTTCGTTAGCTTTTGCTTCTTTTAATGTAAACAATTAAATAAAACAACACACACACACACACACATGTACGAAGCCTTCGGATCTCAACAGTTCGTCTCTCATTTCTTTCCGCGTAAGAGTTTACCATAAGCGGATTTCGATTCGAATAAGCTGCGAATGGTAACAACTTGAACAACGGACACTGAAATCATCAGTACTAGGTGAATGATTGACCAGAAATTGACTTTTTCAAAATTATTCTCGGCTATAACACGATCATGGACTTCGTAGTTATTAAACACTTTTTGATAACGTTGTGCTGCTTCCATATTATCCCAAATACGTTGAAAAATGTCCTAAATCAAAAAGAGTGCAATTCTGCAATAAAATCAACTTCAACGGTTTCTGCACGCATCGCATTTATTAGGCATCGTTATTGACTAATAATTGAAATTAGAAATCGAATTTCAGGCTGTTTGCCAGTCGCGTAAGAGTAGTCACAGTGTTATCATTGGTTTATAACAATCCTTAGGGACACAGTAGTGAGGGACACAATCTCGATGAAAAGAATTTTATCTACTCGACTTCATGTAAAATATGTAAAGAGAAAACTTACTTTGAAGTTCTGAATTTTGTCTTGTAACTCTCCAAGTTCATCTCGTGCAACATCATTCATCCATGATTCGGTGATACGATCTTGTTCATTGTGGCCCTGTTCATTGACGAGTCGTAAACTGAAATAAACTTGTTTTTGATTGAACCGGGAAACTGAATTATCGAAACAGAATCGATATTCTCCTGATTCTTCTAGTTTCAACGTTTGATGTCCATCGCGTTTCTTAAAATCGGATTGTAAAACACGATTTGTCGGAGAATAAAACCAATAGTTAATATCGATATCACCACCGGCTAAGACTTCATATTCGATTTCAACAGTTTTCCCTGCTTCTAGAACTTGATGGAAACATTCACGTTGACTAGCAGGAATCAGTACAGTCAGTTCAATGTCGAAGGCACGGAATGTTCCAATGAACAGAACGAGAAACAGGAAGAAGATATGAACAATCGATTCGGAAAACATCTGAAACAAAAACAAAAACAATTATTCATGTTTTCTTCTTCTTTTTCTTTCTCTTGTTGTTATCATCATCGAGCTCATCGAGAAGAGAATGTTTTTTCAAAACAGTTTCAAAACTTCGCTTCCATTGGTCAGGTCGAGAACAAAAAGCTGTCAGATTCATTTCATAGGTGATAAACCGTGCATACGTATGTGAACGTAAGATTTGAAAATCTTTTGCTAGACTCTTGGCCATTTCCAGTTTTTGATCGATCGTAATTGCACTTTTCCATAACTGTGTAACAAACCAACAAGCTGCCTTATCGCAAGCCATTTTGGTATACATCTGATTGAGTTTTTCATAGAAATTCTTCTGTCGGAGTATCGGCCAGAGATTTGATTTGAGAATTAATTGACAAAGAAGATGAGAACCACTGGGATGACAAGCAATCGATGCAATTTGCTCACCAGTTAACGATAGAAATGATTGACGAGTTAATGAATCGACTTTATCAGCACGGAGAAGAGCTTGAACGACCAGTGAACCTTCTTTGGTTATTAATTGAGTGTTAGCATTGTCTAAAAAAGTTATACAACACTATGAGAAACGTTGCCTGTCATTAGTTCCCTAATCCGATTGTACAGTCAGTGGGGAACATATGCTTCCTCTCTACACGAAAAGTTAGATAGCATGAGAACGTCTATGTGAATAATTGCTATTGGAAGAGAATGAGGAGTGACTTTACCTGCTCGTAGTTTTAACACACACGGAATGAATTCATTATTATTATTCTTTGTACAATGAATGGTTGTCTTCAATCGATTGACTAGTTCTTCATAATGACACGAAAATCGTTCGCAAACGCGAATGAATGTGATGAGTAATCGGATTTGTCCTTCATGTACAAGTTTATCAAATCTTTCTTCTTGAATTAATAGTTGATAAATTTTCTCCAACACTTTCTTGTCATTCAGCGTTAACAATAAACGTTGAATGAAGAAATTTCCAATTGGATGGAGATAAATCTCGTCGATCTGATCGAACACTAGTGGATAAAGAATCTTCTCTCGTTGGTCCGATGGAAATTCGACAAGAACTTCAAACAGAAACGACGAACATTTATCTAGCAAATGTTGGACATTGATATTGGAATAATATTTTTCGCAAAGATGTGTAATTAATTTTGCATATAGTTTCTCGCTGACATACCCACATGTTCGCAATAAGGTAGCATAGACAAATTCATTATGTGCGGAACTTTTTTTAATTGATTTTTTCATTTGACGTAATTTATCGAGTACGTTCCAATCGGAAGACAATTCGGCGAATTTTTTCGCCGTTTGACCACCGTCGATCAGTGGCTCGTATTCGTTTGTATTTGGAGAGATAATCAATGGATGGAGAAATGCAATGGTCGACGCAATTATATGACCGGTGCCACTTTCTTGCATATAATCATTGAAATTCTCGCGAACGCATTCGAACAGACGCTCGTATGATGAATGGATTCGCTCACTCTCAGTTGATAAAACATTCGGTAGGTAAATAAGAAGCTTTTCCAAAACAAACGATGCGGCACGATCACGAATGAATTCATCTAATTGATCTTGTGTGAGACGATCGAAAAACGACGCGAGAATCGATGGTGTCGTCACATGTGGCATTAATTGTTCGAATTCACGTGCACAAGCGCGAGTAATTTTGCTTGTATCTGATCCGGATGATGATGCTTCATCTAGAACTTTATTGGCTAAATCTTGTCGATCTTCGTTCTTCGTGCATTGTTGAAAAAGACTATACGCTTCCTTATAATACTTTGTGTTCGATGAGAGAGCAGTCATACTAAAAGAAAGAATTCATCAGGAGATATTTTCAGAATAGCACACAAATGTGGAGACGGATTGAATTAAATGGATGTGTGTAATACTTTCCATGGTTAACCTGTTCTACGCCAATAGATATAATACATGTTCTTTCGAAAGAGAGCGTTAGTTGGTTGCATTGATAGGTGGAGCTAGGCGTTATGCAGATTAGAATTCTATTTTTGGGACACCGAAAAGTGTATACGTGTCAACGGCCATCAAACTTATACAATTGTATGGTTTCGCGAGTATATATTTCTTTTAATAAACAGAAAAAAAGACAGGACTTGTCACACGCACATATATTTATGTATAAAATCAAAATGAAAGTATGTAACTGATCGTTGAAGAATCGGCTACGTCCATTACACTCAAAATCTCGGCGAAGCATCTGCATGCGAACCATCATTGTACGCATGCCTATTTATAATAGAAGAACTAGAAAAACAAAAAAGAATTAAACAGTTGAGAAGAATCAAACGAGAGTATGCAGAAAAATCGAAGAGTTTGCTTTTTGGAAAAGAATCATTGAGAGAATGTTTGTGGAAATGTATGTGAACAAAAGCGCAAGAATGTTTCGATAGTTGAAGCACAGCAGAAAGAAGATGATTACGGATTATAACTTTGCGATGATGATCGATTGAGTAGCCGTAAAACAAAATCGACAGTCGTGGCGATCATAGCGACGAAGAGAAAAAACTAAACAGAAAGTCGATAGTTTGAGAATTAGCAGCGAAATGAAAGATGCTTACCGCAGCTGATGCAGCAGCACCTTTATGGCTTAGCAAATCAAATTGTTCTAGTTTGTCTCGCATTTTCTTTTCCCATGCCGCAGCGCAACATCTGTTATAAGAAAAGAAAAGACCAGCATCGAAATTGCAATCTATGCAGCATACTACTTACCCGAGAATGAAATAGATAACAGCAAGGACCAACATTACAATGATGAACTAGTGTGAAATAGAAGAATCAAATGTGAAATGCGATAGTGAATCGTGTTGAGTTTATGATTACAATTTTATCGAATATAGCAGGTAAACGGTGGACAAGTTTTGTCACATGAATAATAGTATCAAAAAGTATAGCAATAAGACCAAAGATGGAGAAGACGAGGACAGCATTTCGTGTATGAAACGCACTGACTTTAGCAGATGTTTCAGCACCAGAATCATCAGCTGCTCTGGCCTCGTCAGAACTGACTACACCAGCACTGATGATAACACAAACGAGAGCAATCTATGATATAAACAGAGGATTTCAACTTCTATATAAAACCATAGATGAACTTACAATGATCACGATGTTTAAGATGCCGTGGATAGTTGTGAGGAAACGTACACCTGTTGCGCATCGTGTCGGTCGGCCCTGGCTGACATCACTGGGAGGATTTGGCAACGAAGAGCCATAATGTGGTGTGACAACAGGTGGTATTGAACTATCGCCACCACTTGCAGCAGGGTATCGAAGATCCGAAGTACTCATTGTAGAACGAAGAGTCTATCAATTTATCTGAAAGACATGTAAATAATTTCTAGTATTGACGAGCGTTCATTTCGTTTTTTTTTGCGAATGATTATTATTAGAACAGATGACTAATATACTCGCAACATAATGATAGATTTTCTACTCAAATCTACCTTACGTTATTCGTACATTACCTTAGCCGACGGATGAATCAACTTAATCGTCGGTTAAGCTTCATAGAAACTATTCTCGACGAAATTTTGATTTTAAACATATGATCGTGTATTGAGCTATTATGATATCAATACTCGACTGCTTCTCGAATGCAACGCAGTTGGCCTAGATGAGAGTTCGAAAAAAAATCAGTTCACTTAATGTCCGATAACATCAACGATGATGTCAATAAGAAAGAAAGTTATATAAATATCTTAGATTTTAGTCATACCCATCAGCAATGCAATCGTTATTATATTTCAATACATACTTCGTTTTTGTACAAAAAGAAGCGATCGATATTGTCAACGACTCACTCACACATACGCACTATTATTTTTTGTTGTTTTTTTTAAACTGCGTATATGAGAAAATGAAATCATCCGTTGCATGTCTGTATGCATGTATCACATGACGTCACAGTGTGGTTATGTATTGCACTATTCGCAAATGTTCTTTTTCATACTTATCTTTGCTAAGGTAAAAAAAACAGGTACCATCCTATGATTTCATTGTAACAGTGATAGAAGAAGAAAAAAAAACGAATTTGTGTAGGTATGATCTTCATGTTCTTTTGCATGAGCCTCTTTTTCTCTTTCACATGTATCAATCACTACAACAAAATCAAAGAGCAAGGAAAATAAATCGATTTTCGTCCGATTCGCTCGTGTCGGTTACAAATACACCGTCGGTCGTGAAGAGAGTTTCGCTTGATTGACCACACATATGAAATGTTAGTTTAATGAATAGAAGTAGACAAGAATAGCCTGAATGAAAAGTAATAAAACAAAACTCAACCATTGTATATTTTGTAAAAGCATACAACTAAAAGATATCTTTGATCGACGCATGAACATCTACATTCAATCTGTCGAGATTTTATCGCCTGACAAAAACAAGATACAATGACTAGAGAAATATCAGAACAAAGAAAATCATTAACCCTTGTACGTTTTGTGGGAGATCTAGTTGAACATACAACGTTGTTTTTCACTCTTTATTATATGAAAGCCTATGTATTTTGAGGTGACATTTTAGCTAATCATTAGTCACCTAACGGCGGATCGAAGCTTTATGAAATGTCACGAATTGCCTTGAACACTGAAAAGATAAAGAGGATTCGCACGGACCCTATGACAATTTTTCTGTTATACGAGTGGTTTCTGGTTACATAAATGTTGCCATATATCATTTGCAGATGATCACCGATGCGGAGCAAATATTCGAATTAAGTAACACATCTTCAAGAGAAATGATTAAAATTTTGTTTTGAAAAACAATGTATCGTTTTTAGCTGTCTACCTACTGATGCGATATTGCGTTTGTATCTTCCTTGAAATTAAAATTAAGCAACAAAAATAAACGTCTCGTGTTTTCAATCTTTAAATAATTATATACAATCATGATAAGGATAAAACTAATTGATATCTACTATAATAAACATATGAAACTCAGGTTTATATACTTATGTGTGGATTCAGTTC